TGTGGGAGGACCACTTAAGCCCAGCAGGACAAGGCTGCAGTGAGCCTTGATTGTGCCACTGCCTGCACTCCAGCCTGGGTTGACAGAGCTAGACCCTGTCTCAAAAAGCAAAAAACAAACCACCACCACCACAGAAAACCCATCAACAATTGGCCACAGTTATCCTTAAAAAACAATTCATCAGCCTCAATCATGGGTCAGCAAATGGCTTTCAGATCTCTGGGATACACTGATGTCACCAGAACGTTCCCTTTCTTCATTTTGGGGTAGAAAATGAAAACATTTCTTTCATTTACTATTTAAATTAAGAGGCTGGGTCACCCAAAAACTCAGGCTTCTTTGAGGGTTTCCCCAGCCTCTTCCTTGGGACCAGGGACAACTGCCCTACCAACGGAAGTGTTCCAGGCCTCTCCGGACCCCACATCTGGGCCCAGAACCAGGAGGACACCTCTTACCCCTATCCTCAAAATTGGCCTCATTCTGTGTTCTAAACCAACACTGCTCAGGATAATTAACAGTAAGAATTCCATTCCTGCTGGACGTGGTGGCTCACACCTGTAATGCCAGCACTTTGGGAGACCTAGGTGGGCGGATCACCAGAGGTCGGGAGTTTGAGACCAGCCTGACCAACATGGTGAAACCCTGTCTCTACTAAAAAAACCAAAAAAAAAAAAAAAAAATAGCTGGGCATGGTGGCATGTGCCTGTAGTCCCAGCTACTGGGGAGGCTGAGGTAGGATCACTGGAACCTGGGAAGTGGAGGTTGCAGTGAGCTGTGATTGCACTACTGCACTCCATCCTGGGGGACAGAGTGAAACCCTGTCTCAAAAAAACAACAACAACAACAACAAAAAACACCTCTCAGTTTTGGGAATTAACTAGAGTGAGCTGGTGGTTCTCTAGTCAGATGGCAGCTGAAGGTTTCTTCATTCATTTGTCTGGTACCTGGGCTGGGATGGTTGGAGCGTCTAGAGACTTAATGGGATATCTGTTATCCATGTAGTCTCTCTGCATGGCTAGACGGGGCTTCTTCAGGACATGGCCATCTCAGGGTGGTTAAACTTCACCCATGGTGTTGGCTTCCCCCTAAACAAATGTCTCAAGAGTCCAGGAGTTCAAGACCAGCCTTGGCAAAATAATGAGACCTTGTCTCTACAAAAAGTTTTAAAAATTAGCTCGAGCTGGGCATGATGGCTCATGCCTGTAATCCCAGCACTTTGGGAGGCTGAGGTGGGCGTATCACCTGAGGTCAGGAGTTAGAGATTAGCCTGGCCAACATGGTAAAAATCCATCTCTACTAAAAATACAAAAAAAAACAAAAACAAAAACAAAAACAACTAGCTGGGTGCCAGTGCGATGGCTTACACCTGTAATCCCAGCACTTTGGGAGACCAAGGCGGGTGGATCATTTTGAGGTCAGGAGTTCAGGACCAGCCTGGCCAACATGGTGAAATCTCTCTACTAAAAGTACAAAAAAATTAGCCAGGTGGTAGTGGCGCATGCCAGTAATCCCAGCTACTCAGGAGGCTAAGGCAGGAGAATCGCCTGAGCCTGGGAGGCAGAACAGTTGTGGGTGGTTAGGCCAGATTCTCCCAATCATCGGTACAGACTTGAAGACCGGCTGTCTCAAAAACAAACAAAAAGATTAGCGAGATTGGTGTCATTCAACGCAATTATAATCGCCCAGCTGTTGGGAGGCTGAGGCAGGAGAAATCACTTGAGCCTGGAAGGCCAGAGGTTGCAGTGAGCCAGGATTGTGGGCGCACTGCACGCTCCAGCAATCGAGTGAGAGAGTGACATCTCATCCTCAAAAAAAGATATATTAGCCTGGCGCATGGTGGGCAAGGCACGCCTGTAGTACCGCCAGCTAATCGGGTGGCTCCTGTGGTGAGGACCATCTTAAGCCCCTCAGGCAGGGAAGCAAGGCCTGCAGTGACGCCTTGATTGTGCCACTGCCTGCACTCCAAGGCCTGGGTTGAAGACGCTAGACCTGATCTCAAAAAAGCAAAAAACAAACCACGCTACCACCACAGAAAAGCGCCATCAACAATTGGCCCACAGTTATTCTTAAAAAACCCAATTCATCCAGCCTCCAATCATGCGGTCATGCCAAAATGGCTTTCAGATCTCGTGGATACAACCTAGATGTTCACCAGAAACGTCCTTCTTCATTTTTGGGGTAAACGAAAAATGAAAACCATTTCTTCTTCATTTATACTATTTAAATTAAGAAGAGCTGGGTCACCCAAAAAATCAGGCTCTTTGAGGGTTTCCCCAGGCCTCCTTCCTTGGACCAGGGACAATGCCCTAGCCAACGGAACGTGTTCCAGGCCTTCCGGACCCACATCCTGGGCCAGGACCTAGAAGGACAAGCCCTTCTAGCGCCCCTATCCTCAAAATTGGGCCTCAATCTCCTGTGTTCCTAAACGCAACCACTGGGCTCAGGGATAAAGTTAACAGTATAAGATTCGCATTCCTCTGGACGTGGTGGCTCACACACATGTAATGGCAGCCACTTTGGGAGACCTAAGGTGGGGCGGAATCACCAAGGTCGGGAGTTTGAGAACC